TCAAATATTGATAATCAGTTATTAATAATGAACAAATGCAAAATAAACCTTTAGAAGAACATGATAGGCATGATAAGTCCCCAAAAATATATTTGATTATAGCCCTAACTACTAGAAATATACTTCTAATATTGACTCCTCTACAGTTTAAAGTATATTAATGTTTGTTTAATTTCAACAATTTATAGTTGTTGCTCTTTATTTGTCTAGGCTAACCCAATCTTAATCCCTCACATTGTTACAAAACATGATGAATCTATTATTAAAGATAAGCAAAGAAAAAAATGGCGATTCAACAAACGCCTTACCCGTTTTAGAGTTACTGGTGGCCAAGATAATAAGGAACTGTGAACTCCTCTGGAGGTTTATTTTGTTTTTTATCTAATGTTTTATATCTATATGTTTATTTTATATTCACCCAGTTGCCTCCAAATGATATTTCTATCACCACTACCACAATCCCTATGCTACCTCTGCTAATTTTTAACAAATATAAGCATTTAATTCCACTATCATTCACCACACTAGGAGTTAATATAAATAATACTTTATCCGATTCCCTGAGGAACTTTCATGAATATTTAGAGCGATGATCAAATGTGAATGCGTAGTGCGGCCAATTTCATTAACATTATTAATGGGAAAATATGCGGTAGTTTTGTCATGGCCTTTATAACAATACTTACGACCTTTTTATGGTTGAGTTGACAATGTCGTTCATGATTCTATTTTAGAGGGGGATACCAAAACTGACACTTTGGCAGCAATATCATTTTGCGTTCTTCTTTTACCAGTAGCCCAAGGCCTCAGCTTTATCAGGACGCAATGGGTGTTGTACACTGCTTTGGTAATCCGTCATTATTGATTACTTTCACCTACAACCCTAAATGGGATGATATTATACATTAATTATTTTCTCTGCAGACGACTGCCCAGATTTATTTTGTCACTTTTTCCATCAAAAATTAAAATGTCATAAAGGATTTGCTCTTAATTTTATCACACACACAAAATAATAATTAATCCTCATCATTTATTTAAAAAATTACCGAAATTTATATGGCAAGAAAAAAAAATTTCTTAAAAAATATATAAATAAATTGCATATAAGTTTTAGTATTGAATGGCATTTTGTCATTTAAATAGATAGCATTTTTTTGTACTTAACATAAAGATATAGATAGCCCTTATCAAATTTTTTAATAAAAGGAGTTAACCCACTAATTGGTAAATCCGAGATTCCCCTTCATGTGATGATAAATTATTTAGAAATTTAACTATCTCCGGGTTTGGGAAAAAGTTTTGAAAATTAATATGTGTTGGACTGGGCTTGGAAAATATTCCTCAAGGTTAATATTTGCTTGCACCTGACTTGGGAATATCTTTTACAAATTATTATGGGCCGGGCTAGGAAAAAATTTTCAAAATTATTATGGGTTGAGCTAGGCTTGAGAATTTTTTTTAAAAATTATAAGGTCTTGGACGCTTGGAAATTTTTCCCAAATATTATGAGCTTGGACCTGGCTTGAAACTTTTTAATGTTAAATGTTAGTCTTATGTAATCAGTAATATATTTACAAAGAATTTTGATATTGAATAAAAGCTCATTTAAATATATTTTGACTCAAAAAATAGTTTCCACTCTTAGTCCTAATAATGGGTTGGACTCAATGACATTGGTTAAACATGACCTAAATGGGGAGGGGGGGGGTTAAAATAATATAAATTGGATATGATTTTTAAATAAAAGGTAACATCTTTCTTAAAAGAACGAATAAAATTCTTATTCTCCGTCATTTTTGACGGGCTATTTACTAGTATATATAAAAATAAAATGTGATGCTCCATATTATTATAATATAATGAAATGAATGATAAATCTAATAAAACATAATTCTAGCAATGTTATGTATTTTCTCTCCTTCGCGCAATTTTTATCTCAAAATTTGATCATCATTTCGTACTTTACATGCATTCTCTATAACGCTTTTATATGAATATAATTCTTTAACGATGGATGCCTCGAACAATTCCACCTATATGACCGAATTTGTCAAGTTGGATTTCCCTAAATTTATCACCATTGCTAAGCTTCATCTATACAAGCAAGATTTCCAACGGGGCTACCCGACAACGAATTCAACAACATTGGAGCAATTTGTACATAGGCAGACCTCAAGGACCCAATCGCTCTTTGCAAATTCACACTTCAACATTCTTCAAGGACCGAGAATGCTAAGCTTTCTGTATTCTACACTGCCATGCAAGGCAACGAGGAAACTTTCACAACATGAGTCACACGCGTAGCCAGACTTAACTAAGAAAGCAAATTCAATGGCATTCAACGCATAAGGAGGTGAGAGATGCTTCGATTTCCAAATATGTCAGAAGAGCGGTCAGGAGCTCTATGACGATAGAAGATATTTACAATCTATGTCAAGAGGAAGACATCACGGAGCCAAACGACATCAATGGTGTGGTGATATTAGAAGCCATACAATCAACGGAATTATCTGGAACACAAGAAGAGATAAATTATATCGGGAGAACTAAGAACAGCCATGAGACCGTGAAGCTCAAGCAGGACTTCAATGCACTTCGTTATTCTGAAGATGCTTTCGCCAAAAACCCCAGCTCATGTATGACAACCGCCACGAACAACGTTCTGATGTACGCTACGATAACTACCTTGAGAAACGTTTCGATGAACGCGACGGTATACGCTACGACAATGCCGCGACAAATGCCTCTATGAACTTTACGATATATGCTACGACAACTACCGCGATGACAATCGCTACGACGATCCCTACGACGACCGATACAACAATCGTGGGTACAACTTCCTAACCGTCACGACTTTCGTTGTGACCACCGTCAAAGCCTTGATCAACTTTCATAGTGTAATCAACTTCTCGAGATCATCAACCCACAAAGAACGTTTTTATTATGTTATTAAAGACGTGGAGCCACATACATCCTAGCAGGAGGCACTTATTACTATGCATCACTATGGCCTCCAGCATTTGTGTATTTCCTTCTTAACGTTAACACTTGCTAAACCCATGATCTTGATAGCGCAGCCGTAGCATCAGCCTTATTTGCGTGTCGTGGCTATGCCTACAGTCTTCGCTGTATGCTTCGGTAGTATTGTGTATCTGGTACCGGTGTCTACCTGCATCAACGTGGAAATATCGTTAATGCGCACCGTGATGTTGTACGCATTATATCTGGCGTCATTGACCCCCAGATTGTTCACCTCCAGATTCTGGAGATTGTACTCTTTGACATCGGTGTTTGTGACATCCTCATCATCCATTTCTTTGATGTTCATAGTATAGCTGGTGTTCGATTGACAATCACGATCTAATTATAAGATCTATTATTGATACTGTTTTATAAGTTGACTAACTTAATCTTTAAGCTATAAGTTTATGTATTATTCTAATTTCCTGGGTTCGATTTTCTATTAGCTAATTTAATCTTTTAAATATGAAATTATTTATTATACAATTAATATAAATATATTTATTATTGTTCTCTTACTTGATATATTTATTATTATTCTTTTACTTGATCCCTTTTACTTTTCCTTTTTTCCAAGATCAACTATTTTTCTCAACACACGTAATAAAATAACATGCAAAAAAAATAAACGTAAGAACAAAAATAAACGCAACTTGAAAACGAAAAAAAATGAATGCTTTATTTTTCTTTTCCTTCGATTATATATACTTGAAAAAGCAAATAATATATAATCAAAAAAAATAAATAATTTGCAAGAAAAATACAATTATCGATTTTTCTTTAACATTTTTTATAATATATTACAAGAATGAATGGGCAAAAAATATCAAAAAAAATATTAATCACAAAATATATATTAAATTAATGAATGCGCAAAAAAACATCAAAAAATATTAATTACAAATAAAATGCTTATTATATAAAATGACTCCACGCTAACACGATACACAAAACAGATATAATTGTCATTATTGTATTGGCGAATATTTCGGAAATTCCTTATCATTGTATTGTGATTTTAGTTTATTTAACGGGCCTTTTGGTATGGGTTTTAACATATGTGAAGCTGGTGAAGATTTGTATGAGTAGTATTTCGTTAGACTAATAGAAATTTATCGATTTCTTTCTTCGAGTTATGCATTTTTTTAAGTCAAAGTCATGATCAACGCGATTTATTACTGAGGCGACAATCGAAACAATTACTCACGTGGCGGTCATCATAGGCATTACCCTCAAAACAGCAATGGTTTTCCTAAATATTCGCATAGACTCAATCATTACAACAATGATAACTATACTAATAATAGATCTTATGATTATAAAGATCATGACTTTCAATCGAACACCAATAATACTATGAACATCGAAAAAATCGATGATGAGGATGTCAAAAACACCGATGTCAAACAATCTCCAGAATATGGAGGTGAACAATCTGGGGGTCAATGACACCAGATATAATGCGTACAACATCAAGGTGCGCATTAACGATAAATCCACGTTGATGCAGGTAGACACCGGTACCAGATACACAATACTACCGAAGCATATAGCTAAGACTGTAGGCATAGCCACGACACGCAAATAAGGCTGACAGGGTGCGACGGCTGCGCTATCAAGATCAGGAGTCTATCAAGTGCTTAGGTTAAGTTTGTAGGAAACCAATGACAAAACACACAAATGCTGAAGATAGTGGTGCATAGTAATAAGTGCCCCCTGCTAGGACGTATGTGGCTCCACATTTTCAATAACAAAATAAAAACGTTCTTTGTGGGTAACATAGATGATGATCTCGAGAAGTTGATTTCCACTATGAAAAATAACCTTGAGGCAACACCCTCCAACAAACCCAAAATGATCAGGCAAGAGATGATTCACTTGAAGCATGATGCTATACCCCTCCTATTCACAAGCATGACGCTGTACCTAGAGTCATACCCCCTAGGAGACTGCCATATGCCAGGATTGACACAATGACTCGTGAGTTGGACGTCTGGCCAAAGGTTAACATCATAGAACTTGTATCTCAAGTCAGATGGGCAAGTCCACTAACACCTGTTATCAGGAGAGACGGCATCGGGAGGGTAAGCACTGATTTGAAAGAGACCATAAACTCTGCTCTAGAGACTAGATATCCATTACAGCGCACAAGCGATCTGATTGAAAAGTTAGTTAGGAGCAGGAAATTTACCAAAATAGATTTTAAGCAAACTTTTTTACAGATTCCTACGCATGAAGAATCCAGGGATTTATTCTCGATCTCCATCCACAAGGGCTGCTTTCGATTCACCAAGCTATCGTTTGTTTTAAGAAGAAAACTTGCGTGGCGACAAAACAAACGAACCAAAGGTGTGGTGTAGACAGAGAAAAGTGCAACATGGAAAAACAACCTGACAGATTCTAGGGAACGCTCGACCTACCAGAATCAAACAAGCTAAGCATATAGAAAACGTTATCATGAGCGTCAATGGCCTAACATGTCCAAAAAAAACATAGGCAAGATTTCTTTGGATAGTGGAATGTTGAAATGTCACGTTTTTTACAATAAAAAAAAAGAAAAAGAAAAAAATAAATAATAATATTTTTAAAATAAATTTTAATTTTATCATAAAGTAACCTATGATTGTTTAGTTTAATAGTTTGTTATATACTTTTATCTGCGAGCGACTGTTAAGATGATTAACATTGTAAAACGATTGTTTTTTGTTTCATGTTAAATTAATATCATATATAAAGGACAATGAGTAGTTGATAATGACAGCATAAAATGTAATTCATATCTTAACTCACGCGGAATATTATATATTGAAGGAACTATTTCAATACTTACCAAATGTAAAATGTGCCCAAAAAGTATTATATCAGTTTCAAAATCTTCAATTTCCAATGTAAAACGACATTTGATTGTAATATTGATTATTTTATTTTATATAATATAACTAAGTAAAATTATTAAGTTTGAAGAAAAACTCCATTTAAGGTTATTTGACCCCAACAATAAAGATAGTTATTTTAAAATTAAAAAAATTAGTGGCCCAAATTATGTCAACTATTGATAGACGCATTATTCAATGGGATTAATACCAAGTATTAAACCTATCATTATCAAATTAAAAAGATTTGAACATATATATGAAGATCAATATGTTTTTTCTGCAATTATACATCCAGTATTCAAGCTTCAATGGCCATGGATAAAACTTTCACAAAACGAACCTATAAAAAATAAACTTATAGAGTTAAATAAAAAATGTATTAAAAACCCTAGAAATGATAATGCAAGAACTGTTAATTTTGATCTATCCCTTTTTTTGACGATGAAGTAGATGATAGATTAGGGGAGGATAACTTATCTCTATTTTTTGAAGCAAAGGACAAAACAAGTTTTTAATAAGTTCCCCACGATAAAAGAGTTGCCTATTAAGCATCCTACCGCAATCCCCTCATCTGCCCCGGTAGAGCGCGTTTTTAGTTCAGCTAATATCGTATTAACTGTCAAGCGTTCCTGTCTATCAGATGAAAATTTTGAAAAGCAAGTGTTATTAAAAATTAATACGAAAAATTTATTGTAAATAAAAATATCTTTTTATTCACTATATTTAATTGTATTTATAATTATATTATCAAAATAAAACTATATTCTTTTTTAACATAGCTAATATATTGTGTTAAAAAAATATAAGACATTTATTTATATTAAATTTAATTTTAAAAAATGTCCTTTCATTTGCCACGTGACCTCAAAACGCCAAATCTGACAGTTTATTTGATATGCAATACGGTTTATGTTATTTTTTTTGTTTAGAAAACTACAGTCAACACGATACGTCGCCATATATTTTTTATAAAGTACAATGTCTGCACATGAACAAATGAGGGCGATGTTAGATGAATTAATGGGAACAGAAAGAAATGGTTTTATTTAAATAAAACCATTAGGCACTATTTTTTTTTAGGGGAAGATCCAGAAAAAGTTGATTTTACAGATCCACGAGTTTGCAAAAGCTTTTTGCTAAATTCATGCCCTCATGATATTTTGGCTGGCACGGTAAACCATATAATATTTTTTTGTTAATTATGGATATTTTAATAAAAACATTTTTATATTGCTTATATTTTACTTTTATTATTCAATTAGATTTATTGAAACATTGGATAATAAATTTTCTTTTCAAATGGATACATTTGTAAGTTTAGTATTCAATATATTAAGAAATTATAGAATTTGTAGATAAATACATTTTATTAGTCATAACTATTCTAATATATCTGGAAATTTAATATTTAAAAATATTTTAAATGAAAATAGATTAAATATTTTGATTCATAATTGTATAATTTCTTGCTCTCTTTAATTAAACACTAATTTGAATATATTTTTAAAACTGTTTATTATATATAATATGATGAGAGTCTAATTATATTGACAAATAGTGAAATGGTTAGCTAGCTCCCCTTCCAAAAATTAGTTTGAATTTTTTATTTTTATATCTAATATGCCATGCCTGCAATAATTCCTTCTTAATTTATATTAATTTATGAAATGGTTTAGATTTTTCTTTTATATTATTTTCTTTGATTAATTTTCTGCTTACAATATATTAGCTTCAAACATTTTATTATATTTTAATTATGTTATGATCTTTTCTTGAATATTTTTATTTTTAACCATATTCTGCATATCCACATTTTTTACCCTGATTCAATATTTGCAGATTTTTTTTAAATGATACTGATCTGATATTGGTATTTAAATTAATTTTTTTTAATTAGAATTTTATATATTGGGTTATTCCATGTCAAATTTTTAATGATTTGGCTGACCTCTTGAAATTATTAAAAATTTCTCGATTAATTTAGGCAGCTTAAAAATGAGAAAACCATTTAATTTAGCCTGCTAACACACTTGATTCCTATGATACAGATCCTCAGAGATGCAAAAAATACCTACTTTTAAATTTCTAAAATTTTTAAAATGCTTATATTTATTTACTATTTTGTAAAAATATATATAATATATGATATTATGCATAATAAAATCTCTAAATATCTATGAAAGAAAGAAAAAAAAGTTACAATGTTACAATTCAAGTATTTAACTTTTGGTTTACAAATATTGCTTACACATGTTATTGCAATAAGGGGTTTTCAAAATTTTGCCTTTTATTTCAACACCTTTTATAAATATGAGAAATGAACTACTTCTATCATTAAAAAATGTTTAAAAAAACCAGAGCCTGCAGAGGTACCATTTACATTCCTGGGCCCAAATTTAAAAAAATTTTTTATATCTTGCCTGAGTTTTATATTTCAGGCTTGTCCTGGCCAAGTTTTTTTTAAAAGATATTACATTTATTTAAAAATTTTATAGCTAATAAAGGCAATTTTAAATATTCAGTTTTGAAATATACAGCATTTTTTAAAATAAATTTAGACCCAGATATTAAAAAATATATATTTTAGTACTGGCTTGGATATATATAAAAAAATACAATGGCTTAGGAGGCCTTAAAAAGACTGAGTGATTCCTTTCTTCACACCAATTTTTATAGGAGTTATGATTTATTACGATTAAGGGAAATTTTAAAAAAAATAATAAAAAAGTGTATAAAAATATATATAATATAGGTATCGGTTAAATTATAAAACATTGGCCAATTCAATATTTTTTTCTAAAAGACCAATATCGATGCCAATCCAATACTGATATTTGATATTTATGAGCAATATCTCATTTTTTTTAAATACCTGGTAAGTTCTGGTTTACAGATCTTATAAAAAATAGTAAATAACTTACACATAAAAATATATTTGAATTTACTATTAAAGTTCTGCAAAGAACAAATAAATTAACACTATTCAATATTTTATTCATATAGAGATGATTTTTTTGTGTTCTATTATATTCTAATTATAAATTTTGAGGCATACTAATACCAATTTAGTCGATATCATTCATACTTGGTATCAGTTTAATGTTGGTTACGGTTATGGTTCTTAAGAAAAGATTTATAAAGGTTCAGTTCAGCTAAATGTAAAAGTTAATAAAGGTTCATTGCAATTATTTAAATAAATTATAATTATTTTTATTGAGGAACATAATTTTATGTTTTTAATTATGAATATTATTTATTAAAATAATTGCCATCGCTTAAGTTAATAAATTGTTTATTTATAATATAGATGAAATTAATTTATTTTTATTGTAAAGATGAATAACAAATAAAAAAAATACTCCCAAACTCGTCCCTAGTAATTAAAGGCAATTTAAATTTATATTAAACTTTTTTTGTTATTGAAAAAGATATAATTTTATATTATGTAAATAGTTGTTAAAAAGTTGAATATTATTTATGAGGCTATAAAATTTTCATTCAAATCATAATCTGGGCATAGTTATTTGATATCTTAATTATAAAGGTGCTCACTTTGTATCTCCAAAATAGAAATTATTTATTTTTTAAGGTAGTAATAATTAAAATAAATTGGAAAATTGAAACCATGTTATATCCTTCCCCTCTGATAAAAATCTTTATATTTTATATATAGCAGAGACCTGCTGGCCATATTTTAATTTTTTTAAATATACTCATGTGGGCAGACATAAATTTTTTTTAAAAAAATACCTGGGCCAGGCCATATATTTTAAAAGCAAATATTTTAAATTGCCAATATTAGCTATAAAATTAAAATAAATGTAATCTATTTTTAAAAAAATCTGAAATGTAACCTATGCAGGTCTCTGATATATAGTATAATGTTGCCACGTTCTGGATATTTTTTTTTGCTTGCTGTGATATGATAATACATCTTGAATCACAATTTTTTTAAAAATATTCTTTTCTTTATTTTCATAATTGTTATAAATAAATTTTAAAAAATATTTTTTATGAATGCTTATATTTTAGATTTTTATAAAGCGGGGAATAAGTATTTAATATATTTATAAAGAGAATGGACATTGGAACGTGCCCTAGGGTCCACAAACTTGCCTTACGAGCTGATTATGAAATGGCATTCAACAAACGCGATTATTATTTTGACATTGATGTAAACAAATATATATAATTAGAATTAATATATACTTTAGACAATGGAGCATTTACAGGCCTTTATATCTGATTGTGACCGTAAAACCGAAATAGCTAAGCGGAAATTAGCCGAAACTCAGGAAGAATTAGATGAAGAAAATCAAGAAAAGGTATTCATTTTGTTTTTATCTAATACTATGTTTGTACCTTCAAAATAAAATGCCAGAACGAATTTTACTATTTTTTCCAGATATGAATAAAAGGCTATATTATAATTGTAAAATATAGTTCAATAAATGTATGAAAATTTTCTAACATTTTTTTGTTTATTTTTAATAAAAATTTCTTCAAAATTTCATCCTTATAAATAGGAACGTTTAGCACCATGTCAACACAGTTTTTTTCTATGCTAAAGGTACTTTTAACTGGTTTCGTTGATGGAAAAGTAGTCATATTTACAGGGTAAAATAGTGTATTTGTAATAAAACAATGTGTGTTTATATTTTTGCACACTACTTACAAAATAAATGACAATCCATTTATATATTATAAAACAAACACTAAAAAATATACATATGGTATAAATTTTTTTATAACTTAAATTTTTTTATTAAACACAATTTAATATTTTTTTATAATGTTTAATATACGACAAATTCCTGATTTTTTTTTATCTAATTCAATGCCCCTCCCTTTTTATATCTAATTCAATATCTAAAATATAATCTACATATAATTTCCATATCAATTCTCTCTCTTTAAGTGGTGATTCTATTATGGGTCTAACAAAATTAACCTTAGCAATTCTAAAAGGAAATTTAAAAACTGGAATAAAAAAATAGATATAACGAAAAAATTATTATCTGATATCGCAATGTATATAGATATGTCTAGTGTTGTTAAACGACTCAGTCGAGTCGACTTAGTCGAAAACTGAGTCAACTCAAATCGACTCAAGTCGTGATTTCATATTAGTTTTTATTATTAATTAACAATACAATTATTTTTTTTAATTTAGACTTCTAACTTGAGTAAGTCGTGAATAGAAATTACAAGCATTAATTATTATTAATTTATTTTTAGTAAAATAATTTATTTTATTTATATTTAAATATTTATTTATATTTTAAAGAAATGATATAATTTAATATTTTTTATTTTATAATATATTATGAAAATGAATATTTATTTGATATCTTTTAATAAAAAAAATGATAAGCTGCAGTGTAAGTTAAGTAATATCATTTTTGTTACAATTAATTAGTGATTTTCATGCCCAAATTTTAAGCAAAATTTGATTTGAATTTTAAATGATTTTTTCTTTTTTGTTAATAAACTTTTTTTATTAATTCTTTTATAAATTTTATTTAAAAAAACAATTTTTTAGTTGAAATCTTTTATTTATATAGGTTTATTTTTATCATTTTTGTAAAATTATCTATTTTTTTAGTATATTTAAATATTTATATTAAACTTTTATAAGTTATTTTACATGATCGTCTTTGTGTAATTGTCATGTTATTTTTTAACATTTATGAAATCTTTGACAGAAAAGGATAAAAATATAATTTATATTATAAAGATGTTAAATTATAAATTCAATGATAATGTTCCTTTTTAAAAATGACAATTATCATAATCTGTATTTTTAAACATATTAGTTTATTTTTGACGCCAATGGGTAAAACATAAATTGTAAATATGTTATATTAAAAATTCAGTGAAGATGTTCCCTAGATAAGTGATTCTAAAGTTATTTGAAATTTTTTGACGCATATAGGTAAAAATATAGATTGTAAATACGTTTAAGTAAAAATTCAGTGAAGTTGTACCATAGATATGTGACAATTGTCAATCGTTATTTTTAAAGTTTTTTGAATTTTTTTGACGAAAATAGGTAAAAATATATAGTGTAAATATGTTAAATTAACATTTCAGTGAAGATGTACCCTAGATAAGTGACAATTGTCATAATCGTTATTACTAAAGTTTTTTGAATTTTTTTGACGCAAATAGGTAAAAATATAGATTGTAAATATGTTAAATCAAAATTTCAGTGATAGATAAGTGACAATTGTCAAAATCGTTATTTCTACAGTTTTTTGAATTTTTTTTGACGCACATAGGTAAAAATATAGATTGTAAATACGTTTAATTAAAAATTCGCTGAAGATGTATCATAGATAAGTGACAATTGTCAAAATCGTTATTTCTACAGTTTTTTGAAATTTTTTTGACATATGTAAAAATATAGATTGTAAATAGGTTTAATTAAAAATTCGATGAAGATGTATCATAGATAAGTGACAATTGTCATAATCGTTATTTCTAAAGTTTTTTGAATTTTTTTGACTAGGTAAAAATTTAGATTGTAAATACGTTTAATTAAAAATTCGATGAAGATGTATAATAGATAAGTGACATTTGTCATAATCGTTATTTCTAAGTTTTTTGAAATTTTTTGACGTAATAGATATGTGACAATTGTCATAATCGTTATTTTTTAACTTTTTTGAATTTTTTTAACAAATAAGGTAAAAATATATATTGTAAAGATGTTAAAATAAATTCAGTGAAGATTTACCATAGAAGAGTGACAATAAGTGATCTGCATCGGGCCTAATTTTTCAGGCCCGGCCCGAAATTGTTTTAAAAAGTTTTGCTGCCCGAACCCGAAATTTTTTTAAAAAAAATTTACCGACCCAGCGCGACCCGAATTTATTTAAATATAGAAATTAATCTTTAAAATTGCTCAAAATAAAAGACATATGTTATATGTAGTTTAGTTTCAATAAATAAAATCAAATATTTTTATTTGACAAAAAAATTCAATATAAAAGTGATAAATTTAGATATATTTAAAAAAATATCTAAGGTCCGACCCAACCCGGTCCGAATTTCTTTTTAAAATATTAGGCCCGGGCTCAATTTTTTTTTTAAATATTAAGCCCGACCCGATTATTTTAAATAGAATTAACTTTGCTCTCTAGTGACAATTGTCATAAACGTTAATTTTTAACTTTTTTGAATTTTTTTGAACCAAGGTAAAAATATATATTGTTAACATGTTAAATTAAAATTTTTGTCATAATCGTTATTTTTGAACTTTTTTGAAGAAAATGGGTAAAAATATATATTGTAAACATGTTAAATTAAAATTTCAGTGAAGATGTACCATAGAAAAGTGACAATTGTCATAACCGTTATTTTTGAACTTTTTTAAATTTTTTTAAGTAAATCGGTAAAAATATATATTATAAAAATGTTAAATTAAAATTTCAGTGAAGATGTACCATAGAAAAGTGAGAATTGTTATAATCGTTATTTGGAACTTTTTTGAATTTTTCCAAAGAAAATAAGTAAAAATATATTTTATAAACATGTTATATTAAAATTTCAGTGAAGATGACCATAAAAAAGTGTCAATTGTCATAATCATTATTTTTGAACCTTTTTGAAAATTTTTAAAGCAAACTTGTAAATATATATTTTGTAAACATATTAAATTAAAATTTCAGTTAATCGTTATTTAAAATATTTTTGAATTTTTTTGCCCAATTGGTCTGGTTTTTAGCCCACGCCCTTCTATCAAATTGGGCTGGCTAGCTAAATAATAAAAGTGCTAAAGGACCTTTGAAAAAATTTTTAAAAATGGGCAGGCTAATAAACAACTTTTATTTGTTATTTAAAATTTATTAGGTAAACATTAAAAAATATATTCTTCATAACTTTTTTTTAAATACCAGATTATCGTTAACAGTTGTGGATGTTATCGTCGGAAAAATTAATGAGATAAAAAAAACTTGTTGGATTTTATTTGAAATTATAGGGTCGAAGTATTTTGTCCTATAATTGATCAAATTATAAACATCAGAACGGTTTTCTGCAAAAAGAGAGTTTATTTTGAATGTGCAATATTATCCTAGGCATTTTGATAAAAATAATAGTAAAGGTATTTCTGAAAAGGCCTTGGAAAAAGTGACACAACAAATATATTGAATGTTAAATAACGCAACGAATTGTGATCATTTGCCTGTGAATTCAAAGATTTAATAGCAGAATGGACGATTATATCGTATGAGCAGGTGAGGAGTCTAATGAAGAAGTAGAATAAGATAATAACTCAGAATGTGAATTGTGATAATAAATGTAACAATTGATTAATATGCCTGTATGAAATTCTTAAAAGATACAATATGCACACAAGTGCATACACTAATTTATTTTTCACATATGAATACATTTCTTTATCATTTACTCAAGTTAATTGCGAGAGAACATTTAGTAAATTATAAAAAATAGGCTGAGAAATAATATAGACGAAGAAAAATTAGGATCGTTTTTAATGTTAGTTGTATCAGTGGGGTAGGCATGGGGGGGTTTAAGGGTTCAACCCCCCCCCCCCCCCCTTCATAAAAAATTTTTTAATTTTAATTTAATAAATTCTTAATAAACGCTTGATTTTTATGTTTTAAATTTATTATAAATAATAATAGATATACACATTTGATTTTATATTTATTTTTGGTTTGCAGCTATTTCACACCACCCAAAAAAAGGAGTTATTTATAACGTATCATGATATTGACTCAAAAAATCAAAAAAAAAACTAAAAAGATTTTGTCCGACCAGATTCATCGAAAGACAAGAGTTGGTGAAACCCTTTATTGAAATATATGATGTTGTCTTTGCAGCACTAGAATTTTATATATTAAGCAAGGAAAAAGATTCAGCAGATGCCGAAAATCTTTTGCAGGCTATTAAGCCACAGTTTTTCAATTCAATGTATTTATTTTTTTATTTAATTATACATATGATTTTAGCAAAATGCTACAAAAAATTGATTTGGATTTAAGGGAGATTATGAATAGAGCAAAGGATATTGTTGAAATATTAACAAATATCAGAGTGAATGTGGATGAAAAATTTCATGAAATATATCAAAAAGTAAAGGATATTGCTAATATGTTTGGAATTGAAATGTTTAAACCTAGAGTAGTCTCTAGACAATCCAATCGATCAAATATTGTGCATCTACGATTGAGGATTTTTATAAAATAAACATTTTTATTCCCTTATTAATACATTTTTATTTCAATTAAAAGAAAGATTTATTAGTCATAATTATATTTTAAAAAGCTTTTATTTTCTTTTGCCGGTTGAGTCTAAA